CTAGCACCTTTGGCTTCCCTTGAGCAGGGCAAGATTGGACTGGACTGTTCCAGGAGGTAGTGAGCTCCCTGTCAAGGCTGCTGTCAAAAGGGTTCCTGTTCTGCGGGGGGCATTTGGACTTGGGTACTCTCAGGACATCTCTGGAGATGGGTTGACCACGGTGGTGGGCCTAGTTTTTCCAGTTCGTGCACTGGCACCTTGGCAAGGGTCCCAGCCTCCACACCATTCCTGCTGTAGTCCATTCTCCCTGGCGCCTCTGACCCAGCTCATCTGGGGGCCAGGAAATCCAGTTCTAAGACAGAGTCCCGATTTCATGGAACTGCCACCCCCAGGGCTGTATGAAAACCAAGAGTGGGGCAGGAGGGCAGGGCCAGCCTATGCAGTCAGAAGGACCAGGTTCCACTCCTGCTCTGCCATGTTTTCGGAGACCTTGGACAAGCTACCTCGCTTCTCTGAGTCTCATCTGTGAAATGGGCACGGTGTTGACGTTTACCTGACAGGGTTGTTGTGAGGCTCGTTCATTCATTCACTTGACGAATGTTTACTGAGCAGCTGCTACGTGCCAGGCACTGCCTCAGGCCCTGGGGATATAGTGGTGAATAAGACAGAGTAGTACCTTGGATGGATCTTACATTCTGTGTGCAAGCCAGCCAAGCACCATGTCAGCAGATAGATGTGCGCTCTAACAATGGTCATGGAATGAAAATCAGTGAAGCAGAGTCGGGTCACCGAGATGGTGGAAATGCTTTCTCAGTTGCAGTGCTCAGGGAAGACTTCTCTGGGGAGGTGATATTTGAGCATGCACTTGACTGAGGAGAAGGAGCCAGCTCTGCAAAGAACTGCACAGGCAGAGGGAATGGCACATGCAATGGCCCTGAGGTGCAGACAAGTCTGGCATGTTCGGGGAAGGCCGGGGCAGCAGGAGGAGTGAGATGAAGCAGGTGACACATCTGGCACAGGGCTTGGCGTAGGGGCAAATACTTGTTGGCTCTGTCTTCCTCCTTCCCACTGCCCTCCTGCTTCCTTGCTCTCCCTGGCCTGTGCTTGAATACTCCATGTAATCTAGATGTGAGGGTCAGAGATTCCTATAATGTCCAAGCTGGAAAAGCTTCATAATTTGTCCAAAGACCTCTTTTAGACCCATCCCAAACAAACCTAAGTCCCCTGAGTAGCCTATTGTCTCTGTGCCCAACCTGTAGCCATATTTAGCATATATAGTCTACAAAGGACTCATAGCCTAAATATATAAAGAGCTCCTATAAATCAACAAGAAAAAAACCCCAGACAACCCAGTAGCAAACTGGGCAAGAGGCTTGAGTAGGTGCTTCACAAAGGAGATCCCAATGACCAGTGAACATATGAAAAGGTACTCAACAGCATCTCACAAAGGGAAGGGGAAATTAAAAGTACAGGGAGATACCCACCAGAACGGCTGACATTAAAAAGACTGACAATACTGAGTGTTCGCGTGGAGGTGGAATAGCAGGACTTTCATGCACTGAGAGTGGGAGTGTAAATGTCACTTTACTAAAGATTCCCTGGAGAGACAAGGAGCAGCTTACATCACACCCCACAGAGCAACATGGTGTCACTTTCACGCGGCCATCCACTCTTCTCTCTTCCAGCCTGTCTCCTGGCAGCCCGGCTGGTGGGTCCCTTCCCCCACTCCTTCTCCCTTCTCTTCACAGCCTTTCCTCTGTAGCCCTGCTCATCAGCTTTGCTTCCAAGCTTGCACACCAGTGTCCAAAACAGAAGCCAGGCTCTTTCTCCAGCCTGCTTTAGGAGGTGGTACTAGGTTATAAAGTACAGAAACCCAACCCCAACTGGCCCAAGCCAGGGAGAGACCTTAAATGGCTCACATCAGCTTCAGGAAGGGTTGAATCCAGGGGCTCAAAGGATGACATCACAGCTTGATCTTTCCATTCCTTGCCTCTTTTTCTCTGTTCTGCTGGTTTTGCCCCAGACTCCTATTATTTTACACTCTGTTGGGGAAAGAGTGTACAGATAGCTCCAGCCTGGGGCTGTGTCCTATTGGACAGTATTGGGTCACATATTTTGTTCCTTAGCCAGTCACTGTGGCCTAGAGAATGGCCTGCTCCTATCGGCTAAACCTGGCTATGTCCCCCTTGGAAGCAAGGTCAGCCCCATGAAGTACATGGACAGAGGGTGGAGGAGGGCGTCTCCCCACCCAGAGCAAAATCAGGGTGTTGTTACCAGAAGGAGGTCTGGATGTTGGATGGGTAGAAACAATTGATGTCCACTATGGGCACCTCCATTCACTTGGATGAGGAGAGTGGGCTCAGAGTTTTATCAGTCAGATAAAACTGGTTCTCTCCAGAGAACCAGAACCAGTAGGAGATCTATGTATCTATGTATCTATCTATTGAAAGAGATTTTATTTTAAAGAATTGGTTCATGTGATTGTGGGGCTGGCATGGAGAAATCTGTAGTGCAGCTTGGGTAGGCTAGAAACTCAAGCAGGGTTTCCATTCTGAAGTCTTAAAGCAGAATTTTCTTTCTTCTTGGGGGAACCTCTGTCTTTGCTCTTAAGACCTTCAACTGATTGGACAAAGCCCACCCACAATACGGAGAGTAATCTGTTTTACCCAGAGTCAACCGACTGTCAGTGTTAATCATATCTACAAAAATACCTTCACAGCAACTTCTAGACTGGTGTTTGATGAAACAGCTGGGTACCATAGTCTAACCAACTAGGCACATAAAATGAGTAATCACAGAGCAACAAAGGTGTGTATTTAAGTAAGTATTATATGATAATGTAAAAGTGTGTGTGTCCCCTTCCCAGCTAAGTCTGGGAGAACCACTCAGGGAAGGACAGGAGAGGCCACATGGCCTCAGCACAGGGAGAGGGGAGGAGAACCTTCTGGGGACACCAGGACCTGGGTGTGGTTTTCACTCACTATCATGGAGTGTTGGCTCAGCATCTGCTCTAGGAGGTGGAGCTCAGGGTTGGCCAGACCAAGCCTCTGTCCTGCAGAGTCTCCAGGCTGGTGGGGAGGCAGCTCTGGCATCCAGCATGAAGTTTCATGGTGGGCTTGGCAGCTCTCCCAGCACCCTGGCACGAGGTGATTTAGCCATCAGCCGCTGTGCTGAAAGCAGGGGGCCTGCTGGTCACTGATGGAAGAATCACAGTAATTAGCGACAGAGAAACTGTTTTACAGGCAAAGGACAGGCCTGCCCCACTTCCCAGTCTGGAACTGACCACAGCCCAGAGGAGTGGTGTGGAAGAGCATGGGGTTCTGACCACCTCTGCCATTGCAGAGTTGTGAGTCGTGGGAGCTTCTCCCTTCTTGGCACTGGTCTCCCCATCAGTCGTTTCCTGGAGAAGTCCACGTTTGATAAGGGCCGGTCGCATGCCTGGTGTTCAGCCCAGAGCTGGGAGTTTTGCTGACTTTGAATCTGAGGACTATTCTGGAAGCTGAGACTCCAGAAGGGAAACCACTCCTTTGCCCCAGGTTGCACAGTGGATTGGGGAAAGTGGGAGGCTGAATTCCAGCCCCAGTCAGCCTGGCTCTAGAGCCATGGCATTCTTACCTTCACAGGGGAAGGAATCCCAACAGAATGTGCAGGCTGGGCTCTTGTTTTCGGTACCACCCATAGAAATAACCACTTATAAAGTACTCTCCAGTCTGACAGAGTTCCTGCATGTCCCTTGCTATGTGAGATCTCATCACAGACCAGCTCTGGAAAGTTTGCGAGAAGGGTGTCTCAGGAGTATTGAAAAAACAAACAAACAAACAGTCAAACAAACAAAACCCCCAAAACCCAAAAAACCATCAAGGTATAACTTATGCACAATAAAATCATGCATTTCAGTGTATAGTCTGATCCGTTTTGACAGAGATATACACCTGTTTAACTACCACCATAATCCATGTATAATTAGAACATTCCCATCATCCCCAAAAGTTTTCTTGTGCCCTTCTCAGCTAGTTCCTGCCACCCTCTGTTTCTGCCAGACCCAGGCAACCACTGATCTGCTTTTTGTCCATATATCTTAGATTTGTCTTTTTTGGAGTTTCGTATGAATGGAATCATGTAGCATTTAGTTTTTGTCTCTGCCATGTTCAGCACATTCAACATGTTTTGAGATCAATCCAGGCTGTTGTGTCAGCACCTTGTTCTTTTTTCTTGCTGAGTGTATCCAGGAAGTGGGTACAGCTCAGTGTCTTTAGTCTCTTGTTCATGGGCATTTGGGTGGATTCTAGCTTGAGGCCGCTGTGAGTAAAGCCGCTACGACGAACACCCATGTGCAAGTTTTTACGTGAACACATTTCCATTGCTCTGGGCTAATTCCCTAGGAGTGGGACCCTGGGTTGCCTGCTAAATGTATATTCAACATTTTGTAAGAAACAGGCCCATTTTATGGTTAAGGAAAATCGAGGGTCAGAGAAAGCAGCGGGCCTGGGTCACCCAGTACAAAAACAATCCAGCCCAGAGCCCTTTTACCTCAGTATTGACTCACCTAAGAAATAAGAGAGTAAAAAACCTCATTCATTCATAAAATTTTATTAATACCTATAAATACACCATTTCACTTAATCCTCACAACAGTCCTGTGAGATGAATCACAATATTCTCCCAATTTCTCGGGTGAAAGATTGAGGCTCAGGGAGTTAACAGGATTTGTCCAAGGTCACCAGCATGCAGTGGTGTAGCTGAATCTCAGTCATCTGTGCTCTGGGTCTTCGCTCTGCACCAACTAAAGATGCAGAAAACAAGAAGACATGCTCTCCAGCCCAAGGCCGCGGCGGATATTGCTAATTGATTGCTGGGCTCTCTCCTGCTGACTCAGCCTCAGAGGCTTTTTTAACACCTAACCTCATGCAATCAACCACTCGTGATGGTTTGGAGACAGCAGGCAAGAGAAAAGCAGTCAAAATCAGCACAGGGTCCAGCTCTGCCCTGCAGCAGGGCCGCTCACCAGCCTGAAGGTGAGCCGGGAGGGACCCCAAGCTCAGATCCTCTTCACCCCACAGGCCCCGGGGTGAGGATGGGGCCATTGCTCTGTTGTCAGTAGGCAGCGCTGAGAGTGACCGCGCCATCCTCAGCCAGCCCAGCAGCGTGGGGGCCACAGATGCCATCGGGGCAGAGGAACCTGTTAGGTGCTTCCCACGTGGAGCCCCAGCCTCACACGCACCCTTGCAAGCCGGCTGTTTATCCCCAGTTCTCAGATGAGGCAGCTGAGAACTGAGGTGGAGAAACTGACAAGAGCTAGAACTTGAACCCAGCCTGCCCGGCCTCAGTGCCCACGCTCCCTCTGCCACGTCGGCTGTTCTTTCGCTGGGATTTCCCTGGCTCCAGGCTGAGGGCTGGGACTGGTCTTACTTGGGCCTGGGGTGGTATAGCTGGCCAGTATCTGACCAGAGGCCCGTCTACTGGGACACAATCTGAGTGACTTTTTTTTTTTCTTATTTTGGTAAAACTTTCCTGAGTAATGGAATGAGCAAGCCCCCAGCTGAATGTCAAGAAGGGAAGGGCCTTCTGGGCCAGGAGATGGGAATGTCCAGACTTTGACTGGAGAGGAGGGAGGGCCCACCAGTTTGGACATTGCCCTTTGACTGCTGAGTGGCTGGGAGTTCATGGGTCTTTCTCCCCCGACCCGTATCTCTGTCTTTGTCTCTGTGTCTTTCTGTCTCTCCCTGTCAGCCTGTCTCTGGATCTTGCTATCTTTAGTCTTCTTTTATTTTTCTGCTCACAAACATGTTTCAATTTTTCATGGATTTCCTAAGAAAGAAACACAAACCGTTTGTCTCTGATCTAATCCGTCATGAACATCACTGGTAGAAATAATCAACACAAAATAAAACTGACATCGGCTACAACTGTGCACAGTAAGAATAGTTATTGACCTCAAAATTGACAGGAGAATCAAATCTCCATGCCGACACGAAGATCTGCAAAAATCTGACCTGAGAGAATTGGGCTGACGGGAGTCAGGGCCAGAAGGGGATACCCCTGGTGGCGGTTGTCCACAATTGGTAGTATGTGCTATGTGCGAAGAAAGTGATTGATGAGTGAAATCTTCATTATGAATTTTAATTAGGAAAGACTTGATCTCAATGAAATCGACTTCAATAAAGCAAAATGGCAATGGAACAATGTGGAAGTGGTTTGATGGCGCTTTGCAGGGAGTTAAAGGTTTAAGTGGGGTCTTTGGGGCGCATGCCAGAAAGCGCTTTCTCATGTTCTTCAGTCAGTAGAGTTCATGTGTTTGTATTTGAGATGTCCCTGCCATCTACTGGGGAACCAAAATGGACCACACCATCTGGAGAGAATATCGTGGTGCTTGAGGTGTTCAGTAAATGCTGAGGAACTGAGGGGGTGTTTTTTGATAGTTCTGTGTTGCTCAACTCTTCAGCTCTACCCTGGCTGAACAGCATCTTTAAAACGCCTATCTGATGATATCACTTCCTCCTGCCTTCCGTGGCTCCTCACTGCTGCCAGGACCCAGTTCATCATCCTCCCTGGTGGCCCGGGTGCCGCTGGCCCTCCACTCCCATCCCTCATGGTTCTCCCCCATGCTCTCTGGGCTCCAGCCACACTGGCCTCCTTTCCTTCCTTGGGGGAAAACAAGCTGAATGAGAGGCAGTGTAGTGCAGTGGGTTCACATCCAGTCTCTGCTACTTAGGAGCTGTGTGACCTTGTGCAGGTTACTTAACCTCTCTGAGGCTCGGTTTTTCATCTGTAAAATGGGAATAATAGCACCTATGTCAGAGCATCATCATGAGGATGAATTGAGTTCGTGCAGGAAAACCTGCCACGTGGGAGCACCCAGGACCTTATTCTCTTATTCCTACCTCAGGACCCTTGCCCATGCTGCTCTCTTAGCCTGGGGGGAGAGAGGGCCTTGGCTTGGCTGGTTAGCTCCCGCTCATCCTGCAGGCCTCGTCCCAAGCATCTTTCCTCCAGGAAAGCCTCTTGGAGCTCCCTGTTATACAAATTAGGGGCTACGGCGGGGGGGAGGGGGTAGAGCCCTCCCTCCCGTGATGACCAGTGGGTTCGAGACACCGCGCCAGCTTGTCCTGGCCAATACAGAGACGTGACATCGACACAGCTCCCTGTCTTCTATGGCTTGTCACACACAGGGTGGGCCTGATGGTTCCCGGGTCCCGTCCCCCCACCTGGGCTCTGGGGAGACAGAACAGTCTTGGCAGGTGGATGCCCCCTGCCTCCCTGATGACAGACTCTTAATTGCTTCCTCCTATCCTTTTTGTTTTCCTTAAGGGGCTGTCGGCCTGGCCTGGCATCCAGGGTGGGCACACTGAGCTGCCAGCCCTTCTGCAATGAGATTTCAGTGACCGATGGACTCCGACCCACCTTCCCTTCCAGTTTCCCCTGCATCCACGGTGGCATCTTTAGAAATGCCCTCCTGGAGCCCACGACCACTCCTGATACAGCAAGCAACCCATAGGGCCATTCTTTAGGGCACAAGCTTTGACTGAGGACCTAGTGTGGCCCGGCCCCTATTCTGGTGGTCCGCTTGGCTCTTAACTCAGGTGCTACTCACCACTCAACACCCGTGCTGGCCCAGCTTGCTTTGAGATGCAGGACCTCTCAGTTGGGGGCTGGCTGTCTGGGCTCCTCACCCCAACATGTGCTCAGCTCATGTGGCCCTAGAACCTTGGAAATCAGAACCTCCTGGGAGTGGAAATTGGGGCATGTTTAAGATGCTCATCCCAAGGCCCCAACCCAGCCTGCGGAATCAGCTTTGCTGGGAGTGACAGAGACCCTTTTTTTCCCCTTTTATTTAAAATCATTAAATATACACGTGGGTATAGCATGGAGGTATAGTATAATGCATGATGAAAAGTGAACACACTTTAACTACCCTGGTTAGGAAATAGAACACAGTCAGTCTCTTGCACGTTCCCCTCCGGTTCATCTCAAATTGTGTCCTCCTCCCTCCTCCGCCCAGATGTGTGTGCCCTTCTCTGTCCAGCTTTTGTCACTCAATATCAAGTTTTTGAGGCCCATGCGTTGTGTGAAGTGACGGCGCATCCTTTTTCACCGCTGTGTGGTATTCCATTCCATGAATGTGCCACCATCTTTATTCATCTCTTCTACTGTCGATGGACTTCTAGGTTGTTTCCAGTTTTTGACTCTTATGGAGAATGCTGCTATGAATATTCTTGAACGTGTCTTTTGGTAACCAGGTGTACCCATTCCTATTGGATACATACCTTCAAGTGCAGTTGCTGGGCCATAGCGTATGCATAGTTTTTTTTTTTTTTTTTTAGATTTTATTTATTCATCTCTTCTACTGTCGATGGACTTCTAGGTTGTTTCCAGTTTTTGACTCTTATGGAGAATGCTGCTATGAATATTCTTGAACGTGTGTTTTGGTAACCAGGTGTACCCATTCCTATTGGATACATACCTTCAAGTGCAGTTGCTGGGCCATAGCGTATGCATAGTTTTTTTTTTTTTTTTTAGATTTTATTTATTTATTTAGAGAGAACATGAGCTGGGGCAGGGGCAGAGGGAGAGGAAGAGAATTTGGAGCAGACTCCATGCTGAGTGGGGAGCCCAACGCAGGGCTCAGTCCAACGCAGGGCTCAGTCCCACAACCCTGAAATCATGACCTGAGACAAAATCAAAAGTTGGACACTTAACCAACTGAGCCACCCAGGTGCCCCAGTGTATGCATGTTTTCTTTAACAGTTTTATTGAAGTATATTTTAGGGTATGTATATTTAAAAATTTCAATAGATACTGCCAGACTCCTTTCCAAAGCAGTTGTACCATTTTCCGTTTTCACAAGCAGTGTAGGGGAGTTCCAGTTGCTCCACATCCTTACCAATATTTGGTGTTGTCAGACCTTTAAAAATTTTTTTTTTCCTGCCACGAATCTATATTTCTCCAGCTTCCCAGGGGATTCTGATCCACTCAGAGGGAGGTCTCAACTCTTGCTGTGCATCGAAATCATCTGATGAGCTTTAAAAATCCAGACCCTGAGGACCTGCCAATCATTCTGAATCAGTATCCTCCCAGGGTTGGGGTGCAGACGCCTGTGGTTTGAAGAAGCTGTGTGCTCCCTGATATCCCCTATTCAAAGCTTCTGCTCCACCAGCCTCCTTGCCAACTGTGTTGACTTGAGGTTCTCGAAGACCACTTCTCTCAAGCTCAGTCTGATGTGCTTCAGGCACCGAGCCCCTTACTTCTGGCTGGACGCCATGGTTTCTCTCCAGCTGCTGATCTTGTCTACTGCCCCTGGTGCTCCCATCTGGGAGTTGGAGGTGGCGGTAGGAGACATTGAAGGCAGCTTCACCCCTGCATGGACTTTAGCTCTGCGAGCCCTGGTTCCCATGGCAACCTCCTTAGACCCATTCTCAGTGATAGTTTTGCCTCTTCTGTGGGCCAGCTTTAGGGAGGGGAGATCCCACGGGCACCCCTTAAGAGTAATGACGCCAGAGGTTGCAAACTACAGATGTCTGGCCATGTGCGTGAGGAAGGTGGGCCAGGGATAGCACACACATACATATACACACACATCACCTGGATACACACACACACACACACACATCTACACAGAGTCAGACCATCTAAGCCGGCAGTTCTCAACTAGGGGTGATTTTGCCCCCTAGAGGCAAATGGGGACACTTTTGGTTGTCACAACTGGGGAGGGGACGTACTGGCATCTAGTGGTAGAGTCCAGGGATGCTGCTAAATATCCCCCACAGCAAAGTATTTTCTACAGTCCAGAATGTCAGTGGTGCGAGAGGCTGAGAAACTGTGATCTAAAAAAAGTGACTTCTGCTTCAGCACGCATAAAAATTTGTGTCCTTTTGAAAGCTAAACTTTTATGTTACAGCTTTATTCTATGTTGAATTGCATATTGGGCCAGGTACCAGCTTCTTGTCACTGGTTAGCTCCTCTAAAGCAGGGCTTCTCAGACTTTCTGGTGAAAGGCCAGTATTTTCTGTTTAGTTTCAGTCTCTTGGAGACTGATACGTGTGGAAACTACACCGGCAATATTGAAAAATGAAATAAAACAACAAAGGCATGAAAAACAGAAGTCACTGGCCAGACGCTTGGATGCTGTAGCAATGTTAAATTGCTGTACCAGTCTCTAACCATTTATTGTATGTCTGAGCTTA